TAGAATGCATCCTAAATAGCTACCCCCTATGTCCATTAAGTTCCTCTGCCACTGACTATTATCCCTTAACTCCGGGCCACTTTTTAATTGGTAGACCACTAAGCTCGCTACCATCTCCGTGTCTACAATCCGCTAATGCCAATCGTCTCGACAGATTCCAGCGCATCGAGCAGTTTAAGCAATACTTTTGGTGACGCTGGAGCCACGAGTACATTGCGGAGCTGCAAGTGAAGACGAAGTGGCGCACGAAGTCCAAAGAGAGAGTCCTACAAATTGACGACCTAGACCTCTTGAAAGAGGAAAGCGCTCCACCGCTCTATTGGCGTCTCGGACGTGTAAGAAGACTCTTCACGGGAACTGACGGATTGACACGCGTCGCAGATATAGACACTGCAAGAGGAATTGTGCGGCGCGCCCTAAATAGAATCTTCCTACTACCGAAGCCCGATGAGTTGGAAGATCTTGAAAGCTGTTAAGCTTTCCAGCGCCGGGAGTATGTCGGCGCCGTTACGACAGCACCGACGGTGTTCGCGGGGAGTATGTGAAGTGCGGGGGGGGGGGGTTTCTCACCACCGCGCCTAAGACCGGCACTCGCCGATAACTCGCGACACGATCGCCACCAAATAATTTTGTATTTTTATCATTTAATTTTGCCTATCGTGTGAGTCGCCTATTTTATTCATGTTCCCTAATGAGCATAAATAACTTTCAATAAATATTCTTGTAATCTTCAATTAAAATTTATTTTTCTACAAATTTCTAAGAATCGTAGTTTCTTTTTTCAAAACTAATGAATAGTTGTTATAGCATAAATAACTTTCAATAAATTTTCTTGTAATCTTCAATTAAAGTTTATTTTTCTACAAATTTCTAAGAATCGTAGTTCTTTTTTTCAAAACTAATGAGTAGTTGTTAAAGCATAAATAACTTTCAATAAATATTCTTGTAATCTTCAATTAAAATTTATATTTCTACAAATTTCTAAAAATCGTAACATTACTTGGTATTGTACGAGTACAAAATATTGCAAGGAGATTTCTTAAACATTGATATAAACAATAGGGTTCATATAGAAAAAAAGCTTATGCCTATGACTGTTCTCCTTTCTAAAAGGTGCGTCGACGCACATGCTATTTCCCTGGTGTTGCAGTTGTTCATGGGCGGCGGTCGACATTTATCATCAGGTCATCAGGTGAGCCGCATATTCGCTTATCTCCTCTTCTATAAAATAAATAAAACGAAAACTAAAAGGGAATTCTATTACATTCAGGGCTGATTTATTAATTATCAGATAAAAGTTATCCGTCAAATATTTTATGACCTTACTGAACATAAAAGCGAACTATTTTCTACCGACTTCAAAAAGGAGAAGGTACTCAATTCGACTGTATGTTCTTTTCTTATGTGTATTGTATTACCTTTTTTTATAGGATAAGGCTGACAAACGAGCACACAGTCCACCTGATGGTAAGTTACTGTGGCCTACAGACATTTACATCTGTCCTTAACATACAAAACAGAGCAGCATTAGGCTGCTATTTTACGTTGATATTTTGTGAAAGCAGTAGAGAAGCTTTTTTATATAATAAGGGTGACAAACGAGCACACAGTCCACCTGATGGTAAGCGGTTGCTGTGGCCCATAGACATCTAAATCTGTCTTCGATTAAGAATCAAAATGCAGATGCGTTGTCACCCGTGAGGACCTTAGTCCCGTTTCCAGTAAAAAGGGTCTCCGGTTCTCTACACTCACCATACGAAACACAGCAGCGTTAAGCTGCTATTTTACGCTGGTATTCTGTGAGAGCGTGGTCCTTCCCCGGTCGAGCCGACCCATTCGTGCTACAGCCATAATATAGCTGCAGCATGGCTCCACCACGTAAACAACCTTAACTTTTTAACTTTTTTTCTTAACTTTTTTCTAGGTGAACTGATTTCGATGATTATTTGAAAGCTGGTGCTTTTCATGTAGTCCCATATAAATTTGATCCAAGTCTGACGAATAATTTTTGAGTTATCCTTAATAACGTATATCGAAGTTGTACAAAATTTTTAATTTTATATTATATTCATACAGGTGTAATTTTAATTTGTTTAATTTATAATTTATCCTATGAATATTTCTTTTAAAATAATTGAAAAATTAACCCTGCGTGTTATATCACACTTTAAGCAATGTTGTCAGCTATTTCATGAGATACGGTTATCAAACATTGCATTGTGGGCTCATCCCTTAACGGAAGCAACTAAGTAACATCTATTCTAAGAAAGCGAGTTCTAGCTCTGTCATAACAAGAGCTCAATGTAGTGGACAGAAAGCTAATAAAATCTCGCATTACTCAATTTCCTGGCGGACTTTGTGAAACTCGATGGTTAGTTATCTCATTCTTATGGTAACTTTGGCACTATTCTTTCAATATTGACATTAAAAAGACAATGGAAAAATATAGAGGCACTAAAAGGTTATCTCTATGGAATGAATATATTTTTAGGGATTATATTACGTTTAATTTACATATTTTTTATATGCACGATGTATCGAGTGCTTTCCTGGCACATTTAATATCTAAACAAATAAATAAAATTGAAGTGTATGTTTTTAATGTTAAAATAGCTGCTAACCTACTCGTAATTAGAAATTGAGATATTTGTTTACTTTTTGTATTATTAGCGACTCGCCTTGGCTTCGCACGGGATCGATTCACCCGCGTAGCGGTGTAAATAAACAACTTAATCCAACATTTACACACTTACTAATATCTTAGTTGTGTGTACAACATGTAACGTAATTAACGCACACCCTCAGATACCCCAATTAGTATATTATGTTATAATCATAATACATAGACTGACTTTTTAGTTAAGCATGTTTATGCATTGATTTATATTAATTCCGGAAGAATGTTTTGGTCACAGTACAAATCCACGAACGCACACAGTCGCACAAGTAGGCATAGATATGAGGGTCTTGTTATCCTAGTAGGTATTCGCTCCCGTTTTGGACGAGTTAACGCCGCCACCGCTTGACATAAGTGTAGGTATGTTTTAGCGCCAAAAAAAGCCGAAAATACACTATTGTTTATGTTAAAGAAATACCTACTTATGAACATTAATCGATGTCCGAACTCCGAGCATCGAGTTGTTTATTTAAGTCTAGTAAACATTTGATTGGATTTTTCTACCACACTTTTCAGGCTTTGGAATGTCGACTCATTTTGTTTATTGATTATGATACAATGGCAATAGGCAATATTCGTTACAAAATGTTATGCATTAGCATAACGTGTATAAAAGATGTGAATCAAGATATTTACAATAATTTAAAAATCAAATACTTAACTTACTGATAGCCTAAACCAGTGATGGGAAAAGTATGGCCCGAAACCTCGCCACCTCCGGCCCGCGAAAGCATTTAATCCGGCCCGCCGACGGTCCTTCGCCATGAATACTTAGGAGAATAATAGACGCATAGGTTAAGGAGCCAGCTAGACTAACCGCGTAGTTCATGTGTTGCGGTTCGCAGGGCGCGGGACACAAAGAAGCGTGGTGAAGTGAGAGACGCGGGCGCGGGTGTTAGTAATGAACTCACACTCAGTCGCCTACAGTCACCGAGTGAGCCGCACATAAAGTTTTGCTTGTTCGCGTGGGTAATTTTGTTTTAAATTTGTCCCGTGTTCTTTCTTACTTGTTTGAGTCACACACTAAATTCATAATTGTATGAAAAAATAAGCTCCGCTTTTGGGATGATGACGTGTAAAAAACGAAAAGTTGATTCAGAGTGTCAACTGTTTAAAGAAGAGTGGGCTTGGAAATACTTCTTTACAGAATACAACGGTAAGCCAGTATGTCTTATATGTAACGAAGCAGTGGTGGTATTTAAAGATTTTAACCTCGCTCGCCATTTTAACACCAAGCATGCTAAAACCTATTTGGTTTGATGAATGACGTCGAAAAAAAGGTGAATGCGGAAAACCTAAAAAAAAACAATATCTGGCCAACGAAATATGTTTATAAACAAAACACTGCTCAAAAAGCCTCTACGCTGGCTGGATTTGTTGTTGCTTATAAAATTGCTAAAAATAACAAACCATACTCGGAAGGAGAGTTTATAATAGATTGCATGGTGAGTGTGAGTAATATTTTATGCCCAGAAAAAAGAAGAGAGTTTGAGTCTGTCAACTTATCGCGAAAAACAGTAACAACGCGAATTGATTCCATTGCATCAAACTTGTCGACTCAATTTATGAAACGTATAGAAAACTTTAAATATTTTCCGTGACGATGGATGACAGTACGGATAGAAGTGACACTGCTCAATTATTAATCTTCATTAGAGGCGTTGACGACGAATTTGATATTACTGAAGAGCTAGCTTGTTTGTAATCACTAAAAGGAAAAACGACGGGACAAATAATTTATAACGAATTTTCCAAAGGTCTCCAAAATTTTAATGCTCGTATTTCAAAATTATGCAATATAACAGCAGATGGAGCCCCAAATATGGTTGGAAAAAAGCCGGGATTTTCAGGTATTTTTCGGAACCAGAATCCTAATCAAGATGTTGTATTTTTACATTGTATAATTCACCAGGATGTCCTTTGTAAAGCTGCACTAGATATTACCTATGTACTTAATGTGGTTATAAAACTAATTAATACGATGCGATCCCGGGGCTTGGTACACCGGCAATTCCAAGAATTTCTGATTGAAGTCGACGCAGATTATTCTGACCTTCTTTACCACATGAAAGTAAGATGGTTAAGTTTTAGGTATGCATTTGAACGGATCTGGAATTTAAAAGAGGAAACACAAGATTTCTTAAAGAATATAAGAGACAAATGTTCTGATTTCCAAATCTTCGAAGACAAAGATTTGCGTACCGATTTGGCGTTTTTACTACAACATGTTGAATAAAAAATTGCAAGGACAGAACCAATTTATAGATGAGACTTGGGGTTGTCTAAAATCATTTAAAACTCAGCTTTTTTGTTTTATAACTACATGGCTGAGAACGATTTAACTCACTTTCTGCGTTTAAAATCCAGGGCAACAGTGAGTAAGAACAAACTGAACGAATTCAGTCAGGCGTTGAAAAATCTTCACACAGAATTTGAAACTAGGTTTCAAGATTTTAAGAACATTCAGTCATCATTAGATGTTTTCTCGAAGCCGTTTCATGTAGATCCGGAAAATATATCTGCAGAATTGCAGTTGGAAATTATTGAAATACAGTGCAACACCCATTTAAAACAACTATTCTTAAATTCCACAAAACTAGGTTTTCATAGAACACTGCCTAAAGCTGAATTCCCAAAGATGATTGCTCACGTCCAGAAAATTAGGATGATGTTTGCGTCATCGTATGTGTGCGAACAGATTTTTTCGACCATGAAATTGCAGAAAAACTCAATCAGAAACCGACTTACTGATGAACACTTTTTCGCGCTGTTGAAAGTTACTTCGTCACAGCTCAAACCTGCATTTGAAAATATTATGGAAAATCAAAAGCAATTTCATATGTCTCACACGCCTACCATGGCAGGACCTTCGAATAAAAGTTAAATTGTAATTTTTAACATTTGTGCAAGCGGATAATGCTGCAATGTTTTATTCGATTAAAAGTTTCAACACAAAATGCATTTTCCCTATAATTCTAGCCCTCCTATGAATTTTTTTTAAATTTCTGGCCCCCCATTAAGAAAGTTTGCACACCACTGGCCTAAACACTCATGCAACGTTGTATTTTTAATACACTTTCAAAATGTCCACCACCTTGTTCAATACATTTTAATGACCGTTTTCTTAATTGATATATTAATTTAGAAAGCACTTCAGTGTCATTTTGACTATTCCAAAAGCGTTCACTATCCTATTTATTAGGTCCTCGGCACTTGTTGTCTCACTAAAATAAACTAATCATTCAATACGTCCCCACAAAAAAGTCAAGCGGCGTCAAATCAGCTGATCTGGGAGGTCACTGAACAGGACTGCCGCAACCGATCCATCGCGCTCCAAGCTCTGTATTTGTAGAGTTTAAAGTGCTTGAAATAAGGTTCATTTTTCTTTATTTCGTATTGAAGGACTATTTATATATTATTATATTTAAGTCTTATTGCCTTGAGTTACGAACTATTTCTGTTTGTTTTGACTGTACAGGTTTAGTGTGACTGTAATTTACTTAGTTTTAATTATTTTTGAGATAAAAAATTACCTAAATTAAAAATGATAGAAATCAATTCAGTAAACGATTCTGAACAAACTACTGTACGTTAATTATGTTTCTTAAAATGGCATAAACTAATCCAAATCCACGATATACGACATACGACTGTTACGACTGTGGGTATACAATTTGACTGGTAGACCTGTCCTCGTTTGGCAGGTGGATTGGCGTCTGCAGTAACAAACTTCTAGCACTATTGAATTATAAATAACCGGACAATTGCGAGTCGGACTCGTGCATAATATGAACCCTTACGTACTACCCGTACCATCGTAAAACACGTTTCTAGAAGAGGACCCCCTTTAATTTGTAATTTTATTTTATTTTTATTGTTTGTTGTTATAGCGGCAACAGATATACACATTCTGTGAAAATTTCAACTGTAAACCTATTACGGATCACCAAGTCAGACACATGCTGACAGACAGAGGGACGGACAACGGTTTAGTAATAGACCATAGAAGCATAGAAGCAAGAGGCGACACCGGAGAACCTTGGCAGGTCCAAAGTTGGGAGTCGTTCCAACAGCTCCGGCTGAGTAGGCTGCTTCCGAAGGGACTCGGGCAGGCCACTCAGCCGAGCTTCACGCGCTTCATTAGCATACTTGGCCCCCGCCTCGATCAAGTCATCCGTGAGCGAAAAGAATTGCTCGTAGTCCGCGAGGCAGGAGTCTAGGACTCCCTGTTCCGCATCCGAGGCCAAAAGCTCAGTGCAAGCCTCCTCCACTACGGCCCTTCGGGCCACGACCTGCTCGAGCCGCTTCTCTAAACTATGGACCCAATCGGGTCGCCCTATTAAAGTATGGGCATTCGTGGCCCAGCGCAGCTCCGCCTGCAGGCGAAGCGCCGGTGGCTTGTGCGATGGCATGACTACTAAATATAATTACAATTAAATTAAGTTAAATACAAATTACACAGTCGGTCAACAAAGATGCCTCGCTCAGGAGACCGACCCTTCGGCAATTTAATCTACCTACCCAAAATACCTGACGCGTAGATACCCAACCCTAACAACACTCCTGCTTGCGCAGCCTAACGGGCGTGGTTCTAACCACCGATCCGCTAACAAATCAAAAAAACAAAAACAATTTTTTTTTTTATTACGGCCGAGCGTGATTGGAGAAACAATCAACCACGCTCTGCTACTAGAAAATGTTACGGCCCTCAGTTGCCCAAACAGAAGTCGACTGTATTAGGGCCCATGAGTAACACTTTCGATGGGCAACCAGAGGGTTCAGGCCCGAATGGCCTATGGATAATTATTATGTAGTGGCTGGATAAACAAACACAAACTTACCGAGATCCGGAGGTAGGGTCGACCACAAGGTACCGTCAGGAATAAGTAGTGGTGCATGTAAGTGGTGTAAGAAAGTGTGTAAGTGTAACCTGACGTCACCGATGTAATCGGCCAGCAAACCCACATGCGCTGCTCTGTTGCACAATGTTCAATCACTCCAGTGGGCGTTCACCGTTATCTGAACTCAAGTGTAACGTCATTTAGTACAAAACTATAATCAAAGAGGAACGCGATCTCCTCTCGGGTCACAAAGTTTTAGCGTTCCACCCGACAAAGCAAAAATTCCTTCGTACGATATTAAAACACCACACAAGCAACTCGTCGACGCAAATTAATGGCAATCGAAGTTAAATTAATTACTCAAAACTCAAGATAAACCTCGTTGTCACGCATACGAACGAAATAAGATAACGCAAAGGAGGCGGTCTTAACGCGACCTAACGATTCTAACGTAACTTCCCGACATCTAACCGACACGGCCGTCGTGGACAATTGATTGTTCCATACTAATCGGCACGGCCGACGCCCGCAAAACGAGTCCCGCCGGCCCAAGCCGTCAAACAGGTTTATCGCCCGAGACGAGCGTTTTTGCATGTTTTAAGTGTTACGATTTGTCCTAAACATATATATATATATTATATATATATATATATATATATATATATATATATATATATATATATATATATATATATATATATATATATATATATATATATATAATACCCTTTTTATAATACAATACCCTTTGGGTACGGTACCCTAAAAAAGTAATTTTCATATTATCCAGAGCGAAGGTGCCAGAGATTTCATCAAACCAGTATTGGACAATTGCTTATCAGTTGAATTCTTAATAAATCTTAATTCATACTTGGCGCATAGCATACGTAATATGCATAAAATATCGGTAATTATTAATACTACATTCTGATAAGAACCCAATAGCTATATCTTATTAAAACATTATTTATAATCTGTACTAATTTTCTGTTTGTAAGTTGGTACTGCCAATTATCCTTTTGTGCTGTGTTTGGTAAAACTGTTTTTTTTTTAATAAAAGCGTCACTTGGTATCAGGTACATAATTGAAGAACGTGTATTATTATATCTCTCATTTTGTGAGGATACTTTTGTCAATCACGGGGCAATCTCCACCGCTGTCCAACAAGATAAATTATGCTCTGCGCCCCTGTTATGGGGAAACATGTGCTTGTCAAACTGAGTATGATGAATGATTCAAGCATAAGATAAAATAGTGTATAGGTTCCTAGCTGAAGATTTTGTACTTTTTTATTTCTTTGGTGTTTTTTTGTTTTTGAAAATTAAATGTATATTCTTTATTATGGTTAGCTTGATAAATTGTTAAATATTTATACAGAGCGTCGGCAACGAAAGGCAATTTTCTTGAGGGCAACCATTAGCGGTTTAAAGTGAAGAATCACAGTACAACTTGCAGATGACTGTCGCATGGTGACAAACACGATGACGAGATATTCATAACAGTAGTGTAAGTATTGTGAAAAGAAAATTCATTACGAGAAAGTTGTTGGTCAATATTCCCTAAACTGTTTACAATTATCATTTATTTTCTTCTTATGGACAGGATATGTACCCAATATGTGATGATTTGTGATCATGCCAAAATTTCTAGAAGGTACTATATTTAAAGGACATGAATATGATGAATATCACGTCTAGCACCTAATATTTCATTGGAAAGCTCGAAACTGTTGACGAGTATTTTGGCCCGGGATCATACATCTGACTTGGTAAGTACGAATTCATGCGACTTCGCCAGCACGATGCGCTGTCTAAACCTTTGATTATCGACAACTTGACATTTTTTTTATAAAATTGAATAAACACAAGGCCTATTTAAAAAGACAAAACTAACCTGTATTCTACAAAAATATTAGAGTAAAATTTTGAGCTTTAATTCTGAATGCTAGCAAAAATCTTTTCTTCATGTTATCGTTATTATTTCGTATAATATGTCAAGTCATATATTTTTCAGTAGCAGTAATCTACACATCTATACTTAATATAAATAAAATTAAAGAGTCTTAAGAGTATTATGCATTATTTGTAACATGGTAGAGCCATGCTGCAGCTATATATTAGTAGAATAGTTGTAGCACGAATCAGTCTGCTCGACCGGGAAGGACCACACTCTCACAGAATACCAGCGTAAAATAGCAACTTAACACTGCTGTGTTTCATATGGTGAGAATAGAGAACTGACGACCCTTTTTACTGGAAAAGAGGCATTCCATCTTAGTCCTCACGGGTGACAAAGCATCTGCATTTTGATTCTTTATTGAGGATAGAGAGATGTGTATGGGTCACAGCAACCACTTACCATCAGGTGGACTGTATGCTTGTTTGTCACACTATCCTATAAAAAAATGATGTTACACCCCTTTGTATTTTCTTTCGTATCTACCACAGGGAGTGCTCTGAGGAATTGTTCGGCTTAATTCCAGCCGCCAAATTTCACGAACGCATATTGCGATCCACGTCATCTGGATGCTTGGCGGTCCACCATTGCATTTTATTAAATGTTTTCCTCCTCGCATAGCCTCTTTGTGGAATTGTTTACCACCGGCGATATTTCCGGATTGATACGACTTAGGGACCTTCAAGAAAAGAGCTTACTCCTTTCTGAAAGGCCGGCAACACACCTGCAATTACCCTGGTGTTGTGGTTGTTCATGTGCGGCGGTAGTCACTTACCATCAGGTGAGCCGCATGCTCGTTTGCTATATCGTTGCCTATAAAAAAAACATTCTCGTTCTCTTCACAAACGATTTCGCTGCATGGGGCATTCTTACAGTGACATAAAACTGGCACAAACCTGATTCGGAACGATTAAAACTTAAAATTCAATTCATAATACAGTTATCGCACATACATTGGTCTTGAAAAGATAAATTTTAATAAAAAAAAATTGCTTATTTTTTCTTTTGTAGAATAAGGGTTACTAGTTTGCACACAGTCCACCTGATGGTAACATCTAACATCAATTAAGAATTAAAATGCATCACC